GTGTGTGCTAAAATTTTAAGTATATGCGATGAGTAGTTGCTGAGAAAACTGCGACGAAAATTTGTTACCGACAGACAGACAAAAAGACAGACATACAGACACACAAGGGTAAAACAGTATACCCCTTCTTCTCATTCGGAGCGGGGATATAATAACTTGTTGTATGTATAAATCATCGTACTGACCTGGAAAAACAACATTACAGTCAAACTTTGCTATCTCGACCTCCATGGGATCAAGAAAAAACCTCGAGACATCGGAGGATTCGAGATATTAGGGTTAAAATGCATAAAAAAAGAACTGGGGACTTCCATCTTACCTGGACATATCCATGGTATTAGAGATATCAATGTTCGAGATACCTATTAGTTTAATTGTATAATTGTTTTATTATTTGATTCAATGATTGAATAATACAAACTTGTTAAGCTAACATGCAACCTTTCTTGTTTACATTTGCTGAAGATAAAATAAAAATAACTATATAGTTGTATTAATTTGGAATTTCTGACTCTGTAGCAACATATAATTCATGATATTATACAGAAAATTTGAGAAAATATTAAATTCAAATTTTAATACAATTTGAAAAAAATATCAGGCACGTTGCATCGATTTTGAAACCTGAGGGGAGAGGGTGGGGGTAAAAAAAATGTCTAAATTCCAAATTTTATTTCGTGTGAAGGGATGTGACGGTACATATTGTCGTTCTGTTCGTATTGTCGTCGGTGGCAATATGTACCTACCCACATTGCACATATTGTCGTCCATCGGTATACATATTGTCGCCGGTGACAATTCCTTACTTTCCTTCTGCATAATGGACGATAAAGTTAATGTACAGTCAAGCATCGGCACATGCTGTCGTCGGCGACAATATGTACTGTGAACATTTGCAAATTTTGTCGCCGATAAATTATTTCATACAATTATTATTGTTGTTTTGAGTTCAATACGATGGGCGAGATGAATATTGTACATCAAAGATGGCTAAATCATCGCATTGATCTCAAACAGCAATAATTGTTTTGATATATAATTCAATGATGAAATGATATAAAATCATTAAGCAGTTCATGCCATCTTACTTGTTACAAGCCAACTGCAATGAGAGAATCAGTGTTAAATAAACGTTACCAGTCGTATTAAATTGGATTTAATTTTGAAATCAACTCTAGTTGCTATGATAATAAAAGAAATAATGTCAGGCTCTTTGATAGGATCGATTTCGGCGGGGGGAAGGGGGGGGGGGCAATGGGGGCATTATCAGGGGAAAATCTTTGATTAGCCCAACGAAAATAGAATTCTCTTTACTTCAAATTTTGTTTGATGTTTGGTGGGGTTGGGTGGGGTATTAAGAACCATTAGTGAGGGACCAGCCTTTCAATGAACGTTTTTATTCTAATTGAATTAAAAGTAAAAATTTACGTTCAGGAAAAAGTGTTGGGGGGGGGTCCCTTCCACCCCAAAACCATCCCTCCCCAAATTATATATTCCCTAATGTTATGCTCACCTGAGTGGAAGTCGGTAGCAAGTGAAATAGCTTTCCAAAACTATTGGTATCGAGAACATAAATCCTTATATTCACCTGGAAAATCACATGCATGTGAATATAACGTAGTGTTTTTTTCTTCTTTGTTGAATCTCAGCCAATAGGAGATATGAATTATTCAGTTGTGTAATCATAGCGAATATTTACTAGGGCCGTGAAGAGACTGACAAACACTCTCACACAAACACGCACGAAGGGAGACAGACAGACAGTAGAATTACTCGCAATAATGAAGGGAGAAAATTTTGTGGTAAAAATTTTTTTGTCAAGAATCGGTGTACACGACTATGATTTACAAAGATTTCAGAATTCCTGAATATTCTCTTTTGTCAGTTGTCATTATATAGAGTTTTTGAGTTCAGTAGTAATATGTATCTTGATAATATTTTTTGCTATTCTTATACATGTGCCAATGTAATTATGGATGGTGGTCGGGGGGGGGGGGGTCCACATTTTAGCTCACCTGAGCTGGAAGCTCAAGTGACTTTTTTAAATCACTCTTAGTGGAATATAATCAAGAAAAGTCAAAGATATGGTAGAGTCAGTAAAATCTTTTCAAGAACCACAAGACCAAAAAAAAAAGCTGAAACTTGTATGGAAGCTTCCTTACTTGGTGTAGATTTTAAAAGAACTGCAAAGCCATAATTAAGGAACCGTACTAAAGTGGAAAAATCCAATGGTAGAGACTAGAAATATTCATTTTTATCAAATCACGTCCGCTGTATATAGGGTTGGGTCACAAAAGGCGATCAGAAATTTACATCCGAATACATGTACAGTGTATAGGGGGGATCTTAATGTAGAACAGCAGGCAAAGAGTTTCTCAGGTAACCCATGTGGCTCATGACCCTTTTGATTAAAAGTCTTCTCAATAAACCTGCTTCTATAGAAGCTACATGTATGTGATATTGGTTAAATCTTCAAAAGCATTGGATATCAATGTAAGTTAAATTAATAGTAGGATGCAATTAATTTCGATAGATATTTCAGACATTTTAAATTAAAGAGATATTTCATGTATGTACAACCTGTCTGCTAGCAAGCCTTAACTTTCCTCATCATTTTCCTCATCATTAGCATTATCTTAATATGTGCATTCAGGGTACTCAAATTTTGTTGTATGCCTGCAATAAGATAGACCGACAGACGACAATATGTGGAGTTATGGAAGGTACATAAATGTCGCCGGTGACAATATTATACTGTATCAAAAAGGAAGATCAAAAAGCCTTTCCACGAACATTTTACATGTATACTTAACCGATAGTAGACATCGTTCAGAAAAAAGTGCCCCCCTTCCCTCTACAGGTGAAATAACTTTTCAGATCTAATTTTATCCATTAGGAAGTTCTCAATTTATTTTTTAGTCCAATGTAGACAAAATTCATGAGCTGCAACAACGTAGCCCTCTCCGTTTTTTTTTTTTTTTTTTTTTTTTACATCAGATGAAAAATATTGAAGAGGGCTACATTATTTCAGCTAAAAATTCATATTTTCACCTGGAAAGTCACGTGCAGGTGAACTTAAAGTTCATGTTGTATTTTTCCTATAATGTTGGATCTCAGCCAATCAGAGAGTTTAGATTATTAATTCATATAATAATAGTGATGGCCTTTGCTTTCTTTCATACTATTTTTTCTTAATAATTCTTGTAATATGTTCCCTTTTTTCCAAGACAAATCTCCCACCTTTTTTTTTATAATTGATACATTTCAGCACACCAAAGTGCTTGCTGGGATCATGACAATTACAACTGTCATGGTAACATGACATTTACAATTAAAGTTAGTAGTTAAAATTATTTTCATATAAAAGAATTATAAGGCTTGTAACCTCACACTCATAACCAGATATCATTGAGATGGTGGCCATCTCAAAGGGCCCCGCTTTCAAAACCGAACATGAAAAGGTAAAGTAGCTGAAAAGAGTTTACTTTGAAGAGGAACATTTGTGTACTATTAAGGGATGTGTTGCTTGAGTCTAAAGGGCTTCTATGTCATCCTTGTTATAAAAAAAAAAATGGCATAAAGATCACGAGTGCTCCATACCCTCTATCAAAAGACAGCACACAAATCACTAATGTTGCATATCCTCTATGAAAATTGTTGCATATCCTCTATCAAAATATGGAAGGAAAATCACAAATGTTCCATATCCTAAGTCAGTTGGTAAAGTTTGAGGCTAACTGGACTCAAGGGAAAGAAATTATGCACCGAACAAAGATTTTAGACAGAGAGGCTATTTTTGACCTTGACCCTTGACCTAGAAACTTTGTTCAAGGTCACTGCACATCGATTGACCAGTGCGAGTGAAGTATGAACCACATTGGACCAAGAGGAGAGAAGATATGCTCCGGACAAGGATTTTTCATATAATTCTGCTATGACCTCAACCTTAGACCTAGAAACATGGTTCAAGGTCACTGTACACCCTTTACCCAAAGACACTCTGTGAGCCAGATTGGGACAAGGAGATAGAAGATATGCTGTGGACAAGAGATCTCGGACGGACGGACAGACAGACTGATTACTATACGGCGCCCGCAGAGCGGAGCCCTAATTAATTAATAATGTCTGGCAACATGCAAGTAAAGAAATTCTGCTGAATATTTTAAAGTACTGTATATACTCCTTAAGGATACTATTTCATGAACCTTTCTCCTTCCACACAGGCCAACATTGATATTCATGAATGCATAAAGTAAACAATTCAAGACAGTGACATGTTTTATTCCATTCTTTGCATAGTCATTTCATCGTTAAAACATTTGTACATACATGACTGTATAAAGATAAGGAATTATTTTCACTGACTGATTTAAAAATTCTTTAAATTCTCAATATATGAAAAAATATTCCTTTACAACTGTTTCTATCAAAGTGCTTAACATTAATGAACCTATTAAATGAATGCATTACTTATTGAATGATTATTTGATAAATTGCTCTATTTAACTTCTTCACTTATCTAAAGAAATATGCACTCTGATTTAACAAAAGTATATAAAGATTTATACACAACATAGTTTATATATATACCTTTCAAACACTAATTCCAAGACTTTCCCAAACTTTCTTCATCTTTAAATCAAGAAATATTTTTTTTTTTTTATTTCTCATGCTCCAATACATAAGTGTATACCAGTACAACACAAATAACAGAGACAAAAATATTGTTGGACAATCTTTTTTTGTATATTGCTGCATTGTACTTTACACAGGTACAGTCCTTTTTCTTGCAATTTTAAGTATAATCATAAGCATTTAATGTCCAAACAATAAAAAGCTGTTTTGTTGGTGTTACACAAGATGTGATGGTTTTTTAACATTGCCCTTGCTCTACATGTATACATGATGGAGGAATTGTGATACAGGGAACACAGTTGGAACAAAAGTCATGCATGAACATGCATTTAATATAATTATTAGGCAAGAAAATCCATCTCCAGATCTGTGTTGTCGTTGACAACTTGACATAATATTCGAAACTCTTTGAACTTCTTTTCTTTTAATCAATGTCTTCATTTTTTCTTCCTATATATTGATTTTAATTTTTTGATGGTAGTGCTTCTGGTGTTGTTATGTAAAGATAAATCGGAAATAGGCAGTCCTCTTTTTTCCCCTGTTGTTTGATGTTTTTAGGTAATATCTGAAAAGAAAGCATTGGTCATGAGCATTTAAAGCAATGTAGGAAATATCAGCAAAAAATACAACTAATTGCCAATTTTTGTAATTGCACACCCCGCACCCGAGATGTAAATTGCATTTGGCAGTATTCTAAGTTTGTCAAATGGCACAGAGTATTTGTGAAATACCAACTACAAAATCATGATCTTAGTAGGCATTCAAATGATAAGCATATTAGAAACTTAAATATTATAAATCTCACAGAATGAAAAGACAACAAAGATGTCCATAGGACATGAATGCCCAGTCGCGGGTATATTAGTAATGCAACATTAAAAGAGCTATATAAATCCCCCCCCCCCCTTAAATGTCATATTTTTAAAATTTCTTGAAATGTCCTGAATTGTATATATTGTATGAACTAGATGTGTCGAACGCCATGAATGCCTCTGCAGTTAATTTCTTAATTTTTTCTAAGTTCAAGAGAGATAACTTTGTCAAAAATCATCGGACCATGACCAAATTTGAACTTGATCTGTATTTTTTGGTAAAATACCTGCACATGCAATTTCAACCTTATATATACATCCCTACAAAAGTAAGAGAGTGGAAACTGAACATTTCTATTTTTTCTAAGTTCAAGAGGAATAACTCTGTCAAAAATCATCGGACCATAACCAAATTTGACCTTGACCTGCATTTATAAATATATCCATATGTCAAATTTGCGTTGAATGTGTGCAACTGTTGCAGAGATAATGAATGGGAAGTGAATGATGATGGAATGATGGAACAGAGTAACACTATATTCCCCTGCCCATTTTATGGCGGGGGCAGAAAAATCAGAATTAACAAAAAATATCGTGGTTTCAAAGCAGGTCATTGGCAATTTTTGTTTCTAGGACACCACAGATTATTTAGATTTAATTTGTGTTATTTATCAGAAAGAGGACAAAATGTACACAATTTGTTCAATTTTTACTCTAAAATTTAAAAAGCGCAAATCTGCTCCATAACAATATTAAGTAAACATATTTCACTGATACAGTCCATTATCATTTTACAAAAGTTATGGAAAATTTGACTATAGGTCATCTTCCTGATGTCATATCTAACATATGATGTCATGGCTGATGAAAATATATCCCCTTGTTTTAGAACATAATTATGCATTTCTCTGTCAAAGTTTGATTTTGGGGGCAAATATCAATTGGTCATTATCAAATAGTAGTGTATGAATTTTGACTTTTACTCGACACTCAGGGCCAATGAGCAGTGAGGGATCTTTATAGTGCCAATGCCTGCCGTGACACGGGGCCACAGTTTTTAAGGTCTCATCCAAAGGACCCACAACTTTCACTTCAAAGTGCTGATCGCATGGCAAAGGAACAGTTGCTACCCATTTTTTTATCGACTTAGGTCAATCGCAGCCGAGATTTGAACTCACGACCTCCCGATCATGGAGCGAGCACTCTACTGATTGAGCTACTGTGAACGGTCTTCAAAATTGAAATTGAAATCTAAAAAAAAAGATATAGTTGATAAATTCTCACCAAATTCTGTTTAAGTGTATAAGCTTATGTAGAAATATCTTAAATGCTTTCTTTCAAACTAAGCAAAATACAAAATGTACAAATTTAAGAAAGTGAGGTCAAAGGAAAGGTTAAAGTAAAAAAAGGTTGATGCCCTTCAAAAGCTTACTTCATTTTGTATCAGCATATGAAGTTTGATAACACTGTCCAGAATGGTTTCTTAAAAACTGAGCTAAATACTAATTTAAGAAAAGTGAAGTCAAGGTCAAAGGAAATGTCAAGGTAAAAAAAAATGTTGATGCAGTTGAATAGCTCTCATCAGTATGTATTAGCATATGAAGTTTGGTAAAAATATCTTGAATAGTTTCTTTAAAACTGAGATAAACACTAATTTAAGAAAAGTAAGTCAAGGTCAAAGGAAAGGCCATGATCATGAAATGTTGATGCAGTTGAATAGTTCTCCTCCGTGTGTATCAGCATATTATGAAGTTTGATAAAAAGATCCTGTCATAGTTTCTTTGAAACTGAGCTTTAAACTGTTCTAAATACGAAGCATAACGGAAGGACAGAAAGACGGAAGATAGACATGACAAACTCTATATGTCCTAACCATATTCATGTATTCTGATGCAATGTATTTAAAGACTCATCTATAAATGTCTTTATAGTACTGATACATGTCCCCCAAAAATGGCTAACCAGTAATCTGAAATGAAGAACTTTGCGATCTTGCTAAAAAAAATAATAATACAGTCAGGGTTTAACACTAAGGCACGTCAGACCAACTTGGTTAAATGAATGGTATGGTTGTGTGCAATGTATGTGAACTAGACCTTTTGGTCAGGTTGATAACTCTTAAATCCTTTTCAGTCTTTTGAATAAATATATACAAAATTGTAAAAAAAAAAAATTATCTTATTTGTACAAATGTAAACACAACCTTTGCTCTGTATGTTGAAATCCCTTCATAACACAATTGTTATTTTTAGCAATAAAATTTTTTATAATATATATTTTTAGCTGTAGTAGACAAGTCTGGGTTGAAACGTATCAATTGATATGGTATTAATACTTACCAAGTAACACTTTCTGTATTTATTAATATTTAGGATAATCATTTTAGTAAAGTTTGTTGAATGTCTTTAAGGCTCATAATTTTCATGTCCCAATTAATGAACCAGACTCAAAATGGCTACTCTGTCAGAATCTTGACACGCATGAGAGATAGTTTCAAAAGTTACCAATTAAAATTAACAATTATAAGAAGTTTGGTCAGGGCAAGTGATTTTATGGTTAGTAATTCAAATTATGGAAGGTAGCCTGACATGTCTAGTACTTGTTAAAATAAATGTCAAACCTGATACTCAAACCCTGTTATCTCGAACTATCCATAGAACTGTGGAAAAACTTGGAGATATCGGGAAGATTCAAGATGTTAAGGGCAGTGCTCCAAGTCACACTTCCTACCAGGTCGCTAAATGACGACCTAAACATTTTTTGGTCGCCATTTCAGAACTTCTGGTCGCAATCAACAAATATTTCACTCGCCATTGTGAAAACACTTTGTGAAAACACATTTACATGTAGCATACAGTAAAAGCAAGGAACAACACTCATTTATGTACCTACGATGTCTTTTTAAAATTTATCAAAGATTACTTATTACTGTGACTTAATAATTTGCTAGGCTGAAGAAACCACTCATGAAATAGTAGTTCATAGAACCACCAGTATGGTTGTGCAATGAAGAACACAAGTGTTTTATCCTAGAATTAAAATTAATTCAAATGAAATTGTAGCAAGTTTGACTGATGCGTGCATAAGTTTGAACTATTCAGATCTGACTTCGTCAGCTGTTTGTTAATATGTTTATTTTATGAACCTATGTATTAACCAGTTGTTGTCCACATCACCAAAACATGATGATATTCAAGCTATATTAGCCAAATGCTCCATTAACAAGATCAGGTTTTAAAAAGAATACAACATTTTGACAGCCGTTCTGTTGACTGTACAGCATGCTGGCATATCATTACGTAATCTCAGTCTTTGCGACGCTTAACAAAGTTTTAGGAATGTCCTCAAACATTTTCTTGACAGAGAAGCTTGGGAAAAAAGTAATCTTGATCTCAATCATAAAAATTGACAATCGCCAGCCCAAATTTTCTCAGTCGCAATAATGCGAGTTAGTTTTAATTTCCAGTCACAAATTTAAATTTTTGGTCGCAAATGCGACCATTTTAGTCGCAACTTGGAGCACTGAAGGGTAAAATACTTATTAAATATAATAAAAGATTGGGACTTAAAAATTACTGACATATCCACTGTATTCGAGATATCAGTATTCAAAATACCTATGTTTAACTGCAAAATCATGTATTCTGTAAATCAACTATTATTCCCGACAATTTTTACTCAGGATTCTTTACCCTGAAATCCATCTGCAACAGTAAGCATCAATTTTTCCAGTGAAGGAAACATTCTACCATAATACAATAGCTGTCACAACTTATGATTGGTTTGTGATGAGAAATATTTCTAAGTAATGAAGGTTGCAAAAATTGCAGATCTTTCTTGCAGGCAAGTTAAAGTTGATTTACAGTATATCATGTTTATATACTGAACTTTACAGGGTATAATAATCAAATCTCACCATTCAAAGTAATTTAATGTTTCCCTAAGTATGACATCTTCTTTCATCAACTGCCATCAGAAGTTCGAATACTTAAGCCAGTTCCAATGTCCTCCTTTGCAAACCCTGGTATTCCATGTGAACTGACATTGGGTCTCCATCTGATTCTTAGCCACTCCAATTCTCCCCATATCTTCAAAGAGAAAAAGAAGTCAACTCTACCTAAGATCAATAGCTTCCTTAAGCTGAAGTCTTCTTAAATAAAAGATGATCTAAAAGAGGTTTAATATATATACAACAATGATCACTTGAGCCATTTCAGCTCTGCTGTTCTTCAGAAACTTTTTTATCTCCATGAAAAATTGTGACCTCATAATGTGACCTAACCTAGCTCCAATAATACTGCATCTTTGCTTGCTTTGTAACATACAAAGTAATAATTAACAAGCACTCTGAGAGTATTGCATTAGCAATACTAGTCCCCTACCGCCAAGTGTAATCTGGTTCCCGTTAAGAATTGAAAATGCCATAATTCCGTCAAAAATCAATGAAGCGGGACGAAATGCAAATTTGATCCACAACTTATCAAGGTAAAGTCAAATAACAAAAATCAGCTCAATATCTGAAAGCGTTTAGAAGAAAATTGCGGAAAACCCTTAAAAATTGAAAAGGCCGTAATTCCGTCAAAATCAATGAAGCGGAACGAAATGCAAACTGATCTGTAACTCATCAAGATACACTCACATACCACAAATCACTCAATATCTGCAAGCGTTTAGGAAAAAAGTATGGAAAACCAAGTGGGACAGACAGACAGAGGGACAGACAGACAGACAGACGGACAGACTCAGAGGAAACCTAAAACCTATAGTCCCCTCCGGTTGCACCGGTAGGGGACCAATTACTAAAAAAAAAATTGGGGGGGGACTACTTTAACACTTTCCACCACCATATATCCAATACATGTTTTTAAACCCAGAAAGTCCAGCAGGGGGAACAACGTAAACATGTGGCATATTTCTCTCTTATAATGTACAGTGGGGTATTTTTTGTGTGGAACGATTATTTTAGGGTTTTACAGATTTATTCCTATGGTACACCTGATAAATAAGTGTAATAAATATAATTTCTGAAAAAAAGTCCAAGTCCTAAGGGAGGGGGGGTCCTATCCATAAGTACCTGTGCTGCTGACTTGTGGGGAATAATTTTCACTTTTTAGCCCTGTTGACTTGTGGGGAATATTTATCACTATTGACTTATGAGGAATATTTATCACTATTTATCATTGTTGACATGTGGGGAATATTTATCACTGTGGGCTTGTGGGGAATATTTATTATCATTGTTGACTTGTGGGGAATATTTATCATTTTTGACTCGTGAGGAATATTTATCACTGTCTACTGGCTTTTGGAGAAATGCATTATTTTACTTAACATTTACATTAAAAATACAAATTATTTTTTCAATAAATATCTACCAAATCTAAATTTAAAGAATCATCATATAAATGTACTGAAACTAAATAATGTTCATAAGTCCTCTAAATCAAAGAACATTAAACATGTTTGATATGCTGCATATAAAGTTTCTTTAACTAGATTTTAATTTTTTCTTGCATAAAACTGTTTTCAATTCAGAGCTTATAAGTCAGTCTATGCGAAAGTTTTTTGGACCACACTGGACATTAAGTCCTGTGTAATTTTTAATTAATGCAATGAATACAAAGGAAAAACCTCTTAAGTATAGGCCCAACAGCTTTTCTTTTACCAGGGATCGCTCCCACATAATTCTGTAGACAGTCCATGTGTCTTAATGATGTTTACTTATGCATTTGAAATTGTATATTTTCTACTTATAAAAAAAAAACATTGAAATGACTGCGTCGAAATAGTTAAGCTCAAAACCAAATTCTGAGACATCAGACATTCCGGTCCGGTGTAAAAATAACACATCAGGCCAGAGGCACTGTATCCAGGGATAGACATTAACTTTCAGATTCACTTGCCCTTTTTTGAGCAAGTGATCTCAAACTTTGACTTGTCTCAATGCAAAACTTGGTTGCCCAAAATTAGGAAAGAACTTAATAAGCAAAAAATTAATTTCTGTAAATGTTATGATAAGAAAAAATGTGATCAAATATCAGTATATATACCAGTCAGTGAAAAAAAAAAGATGCTGCATTTGTACATAAGTGTATACAACTGTACTTGTAAATTTAACCTTCTAACACACACTGCCATGCAGCAATAACCATTTCCTTTTAATTTCCTTATACATGTGATAAAATTAATATTTTAAAAAAAATATTTTCGGTAGGATCCTTTTGTGAATCGTGATTTTCAGAGAAAACTCTGAAGCAACGCTAAAGGAAGATACATGTAGTTGCTACGAAACATACATCTTATCTTGATCAGGATACATTATGTTACGCTGTACATATATTCTGTGCGTGAATAAATAATCTAATTTCCTAATAAGAAGTTAACAAAATATTGTTAGACGTAGAGCGTATTTACTACAAAGGAAAATAACGAACCTGATTTCAAAATGAATGGTATAATCCAGAAACGCTACCAAGGAAACATAATTGTCAATCAGGTGCGTGGCGGAAATCAAGTGTTCAATTTATTGTTTCATTAATAAATTAATGTAATCTAAATAAATATGTGCATTTGCATGAACAAAATCACTTGCTCGATCGGACAAGTACTTTGACAATTTCACTTGCCCAAACTGAGAATTTACTTGTCTCAGGCAATTGGACAACCATTAATGTCGATCCCTGGCACCAATTGATTACTCTCAATTATAATCAATCATTTATTAGTAGATATTGTAAAATTTTCTGATAATTCAATATTTATCAACATGGTTATATCTTCACAAAGAATTTTGGCTGAAGTAAGTCGGAGGTTAGAGTGATCTGTTCTGAATGAATCGTGGTAATATTGTTACCCTCATCATTAACAACATATTTTGCAATGGGTAACATCATATAAATAGTGCTTATTTTTTAGGGTAAAACAAGAGGCCCCTGGACCACAATGCTAACCTGAGTAACTTTGGCCCCGCTGTTCTTCATCTGATTTCCCCCCTTGTAATGCCTATTGTGGCCCCGCCCTACCCCAAGGGGTCATGATTTGAACAATTTAGAATCTTCCACATTAGTTTCAGCTTTTTGGTTCTTGAACAGTCAGGGGTGAGACTGAAATCCGTCATTTTTGAAAAATGATGGATAATCGTCATATTTACTAAGTACGTATTTTCGTCATTTTTGTCAATATGACTTACTATCGTTATATTTTCTTTTTCAACTTAATTCTTCTATCCTGGTTACATAAAAGCAAAATTTGAATTCACCGCTGAAAGAAGAGTGTTTACGCAAGTTTCATTTCATCCGGGTTACTAATTACTGCTGACCACGTGCGTTAGAACATCAACATGGAAGGTGAAAGTTATTATTTAGCGGTAAAATGTCGAATTTTGGTAGAACTAATTCGCCATTTTTACATGGCTTTAAGCCCTATAAAAACATATAGTACACCGTCTGGAAGAATACGTACTTGTAGAGAAAAGTCTCGACAAAAAGTTAAAGCCATAAAAAAGTAGTGCGCCCCGTAAAACAAGCGAGATATTTCAGTGCGCCCAGACCCTCCATTTTGAAAAAAGACGGAATATCGTCATTTTCGTCTTCTTTCCTATTTAATGCAAATAAATTGACAAATAACTCTTCCACTCTTATTTTTGCTTGGGAAATTTATACTGTCAACATAACCAGTATTGTAGTCAACTGTATTAGAGAAATGAAGTTCGTTTACGATGTTTTTTGTCCTTTTTTCGGTTGGTGGATCTAACATTTTTCAAAGAGAGGTAACTCGGTATTCTAGAAACACTCTAAATTTTTATGACTGTTTTTCGTCATTTTCTTAAAAATGACGAGTTTAAGTCATAATAAAAATTTTATTTTATGGCTTAAAATCGTCATTTTAAAAATGACGGATTTCAGTCTCACCCCTGACTGTTGAAAATAAGATTTTTAAAGATATTTTCTACATATTTCAATGTAAAACTTTGATTCCCTATTGTGGCCCCGCCCTATCCTAGGGGTCATGATTTGTATAATTTAGAATCTACACTACCCAAGGATGCTTCCACATAAGTTTCAGCTTTTCTGGCTAAGTGGTTCTTGAGAAGAAGATTTTTAAAGATATTTTCTACATATTTCAATGTAAAAATTGGATTCCCTATTGTGACCCCGCCCTACCCCCGGGGGTCATGATTTGAAGAATTTAGAATCTACCCTACCCCAGGATGCTTCCACATAAGTTTCGGCTTTTTTGGTTCAGTCGTTCTTGAGAAGAAGATTTTTTAATGACCCCACCAAATTTTTGTCTTTTCTTGATTATCTCCCCTTGAAAGGGGGCTTGGCCCTTTATTCTTATAATTTAAACTCCCCTTCACTCAAGAATGCTTTGTACCAATTTTGGTTAAAATTGGCCCAGTGGTTCTTGAGAAGAAGTTGAAAATGTGAAAAGTTTACAGACTGACGGACAGACAGCTAGAGGGATGACGGACAATGGGTGATCAGAAAAGCTCACTTGAGCTTTCAGCTCAGGTGAGCTTAAATGACATACTGAGAGAAAAATATTTTCAACTGATGCATCAGTATGTACACTACAGTGTATTATACAGCTGAATGTCTGATTGATAAATACAACAAAAAAATTCTACATCAGAATTAATTTAAAAAGGCATTTAAACACTCTGCATAGGTTTTTTATGCCAGTCCTATACCCCAAGGGATCATGATTGAAAAAAAAAAAAAAAAAAAAAAACTTGAGTCTACCTGAAGATGCAACCATATGAATATGACTAACCAAGGTTTTATTTTTCTTGAACAGTTAAATTTTATTTAAAGATTTTTCCTATGTTTTTCTATGTAAAACTTTGATCCAAAATTGTGGCTCCACTCAACCATTACACCTGGGGTTCATGATTTGAACAAACTTAAATCTGTGGCAGTGCTACCTGAGGATGCTCCCATATGAATATGACTACCCATGGTTTTGCTGTTATCGAGAAGACGTTTAAAGATCTTTAGCTATATATTCCTCTGTAAAACTTTCATTTCCCATTGTGGTCCCGCTCTACAAAGGGGTCATGATTTGAGCAAAACTAAATCTAAGGGCAAGAGAAAGAAAAACCCCTGACCCTAGGGCCATGAAATTCATAATTTTGGAACTCAGGAAGAGGCACTTTGCTCATTTAAAAACAGACAATACGTTCCTCAATAATATATAATTTTTTCTAAGATTTTGTCATTGAAGTATTGCTACTTTAAAATGTTTACTTGCAAAAAATTAAGGTACCTTACCAGGCATTTGTGCAAGATACCAGAGGATGTTTTTCCTATAAAGTCCTTTTGGAAAAAACTCAATTAGCCAATAACACATTTTTTGGTCTTTCATTTTTTAAAGACAATTAGAAATCAGTTTAGAAATCAGAAGGTTATTAAAATTTTGAATATTTTCCACATAATTCGAAGGAATACCAAAACAGATATTGAGGAATGTATCGTCTAACCTTAATAGTCTGTCTGTTTAATACCCAGGAGAAGAAAAGATTTTCAAAAATATTAAGGAATTTTCACTATATAAATTCAATAGACAACTCCATCTTCAAACGTAAGAGCTGCTGACCCTGGAGCTACAAATTTCACAAATCTGGAAGAGGTACCCTTGATTAATATAACCATGGGCTCAGTTTATCTGCTTTATACCGAGAAGCAGGAAAGATTTTCAAAAAATTAATGCATTTTCACTGTATATTCAATAGAACCATGCCTTAGCACCAGAATCCCGAACCAAGTGGCCATGATATTCACAATTTTGAAAGAGACACTGTTACTTATCATAACTATGTACTAAGATTGGCATAAATCTGATGCACATGATCAAAGAAGGAAGATTTTCAGAAAAATAATGCATTTTCACTATATAACCAATAGGGCCCTGCCCTAACACCGAAACTAATGACCCCTTGGGGAATAAAATTCAAAATTATGGAAAAGGCAACTTTATTCATCATAACCATGAACTTAGTATTGCTTTCAACACTCAGGAGCAGAAAAGAAATTTTCAAAGAAATAATGCATTTTCACTATACCTGTATTATCCATAGACCACACCCTCCAACCTCTCATCCAGGGGCTATGAAATTCACAATTTTCAAAGAAGCACCCTTGCTCATTATAACCTGCACTTAGATTTTTCCCCTTAATAATCAGAGACAGAGAAGAAGATTCCCAAAGAATTAATGCATTTTCACTATAATTATCACTAAAGCCCCATCCTAACACCACAACCCAAGGGCCATGAAATTAATAATTTTGGAAGAGGTGCTCATCATAACTTTGTACTTAGTTTGTTTGCTTCATATCCAGGAGCAGAGAAGGATATTTTCAAAGAAATAATGCATTTTCACCATATTTAATCAATGGAGCTCCACCCTTACACCGGAACCCCTGACCTTGGGGCAATGAATTTCAAAATTTTGACAGAGGGCTTAATGCTTATTCAACCATAGCAGCAATTCAACTGCTGAATTTCCAGTAGTAAAAAAAAGAAGATTTTAAAAGATTGAAATAATTTTAATAAGTTTAGCCCTATCCCTCAGGCCAAAGGGAGGGGGGGGGGGTGGCAGATATAATGAAATTCACAATTTTTATTCCCCTTCATCATACTAGATATTGGTTGAAATTGGTTCATCATTTCCAGAGAAGAAGCTAAAAATATTCAAATGTTAAAGAAGGATGGACAAAAGCAGATAGCAAATAGGTCAGTGAGTGACTTAGGTTTTCATTTGAAAAAAAGGGCTAAAATTAGCACAGAGTTAATTGGAGTTTCCTTTCAAGTAAGATCGATTGAAAACAAAAAAAGTGCATTTCAAAGACTGAATAACCATAAGGTCAGCAAATGAAGTCAGTGAATGTTTTTTTTTATGGTAATGGAAGCATAGATTTCAAAATGAGAACTTAAATGATAATTGTTTACTTATGATCTATTACTGTAATCTTGACTTACCAAAGCCTTCTGTCACCATACAGAAATCCAGACAGAATGCATTCAGTTATATACTTGTATCCTCCAATTCCATGCAGAGTTGTCTGTTTACACATCTGCCTCTCAGTCTCCAACATTTTCAAGAATAAAGTCACCTTAAGTTTGCTCTTGTTGTGAAAACTCCAAAATCTGCAATAATAGTTTTGCTCTGCATTACACAATTTAATTGAATTTTTTTCATCAGTATATGTGTATATTTTTACCCATGATTACAAGAAAAGTCTACATCACTCAACACCTGATTTTTGACCCCAATAGCAAATATAATTTGTTAGTGCTCTCAATACAACTGACCTTGTCTCGACACACAAGAACAGTTAAGAAATAATAAAAATATAATATGTAATCTTTGCATCAACTTAGATAGTTTTAAAAGACATTTTGCTTTATCTGGAGGGGCGAGATCAAGTCCGACATCTGGGATTGAATCATTCATCTTTTTTGTACTGTTTAAACTTTTCACATTTTTTTAAAAAAATACATGTACTGGTATAATTTAAAGATTGTGACCCCTTGAACTTTTGAGATTTCAACCTTTTCTAAAAAAAAAATTTGAAATATTTTGCATGTCGATAACAAATAAAGTTGCAAGACTGGTGCAAATTTAAGTATCATGTACACAACAGATCTTCCCGGTTCTTCTTTTCTTCTTCAATGAGTACCTATATGATGATCACCATCAATTTGAAAGCAATTGAGTTCATCAAAAGCAAACATTTTTATAGAGGTGGGACAAAACAGGTAGATCTTGTGATATGATACGTATCTCAATACATAAACAAGTAACATGATATGATCCGTATCTCAATATTATAATAAATATATATGAAAACTATAAAATTAAAACTAGAGTGTTTCAAGGAACACATGTGTCTCCTGCTCTGTAGCTTCCTTAAAGGTGACAAAAATCTAAAATTGGTCAGCTTTTTATTTACTTTTAGCATGATAGTTCAATACATGCATTTGCCTGCAGAGAAAAACTGGCACCTATGGATAGTATAAGACTCTGATAGAATCTGACAATCAAAGAAAATATGGTTCTTTAACCCTCAAATGAATAATTTAATTGAAATTAATTAATTATTAGAAATATCTACTTATCATTTTATTAAGACATATTTCCAACAATTAATCCTCCAAAACAGATTTCAGTCTGTCCTTACTGCAATTGTCACTCTACACGATCCATGGTGGAATACCGATCCCAATGTATTTTCATTGTAACTATTTACATATGTGTTAACTGAATTTCAGGCCTAGATAAATAAATTGTGCGTTTCCGGTTCCCCATCAACCCTAAAATATATGAGCCGACCCTGAAAAATTTATCCGCGGATATCTTTCCAGAAGTAAACAATTCCTCTTCACTATTAGAAATCCTAATCTCGATCACTTCGGTGTTAAAATAAAATAAAATGTTTTCCCTACCTACCTACCCTATTTTTTCTCGGGTTGGAATAGGAAACACACTATTTATTTATCTTGGCCTCATACATTTTCAAAGTACTTTATCATGAGCTAAACGTGTTTCCAATAATCCTCCAAAAGAGATTAACATGAGAGTCTTAACATGATCCATTGTGGAATAACGATCCCGATGTATTTGCATAGTATTTAATTAAAATATGTGGTAACTGAACATCATACAGATTCAAATTACAGTATCATGAGCTCATAAACATGTATAAATGCTGATTATCAAAATCCTGTCTCTCAAATTTCAAAAGTCATAAATTAAACTAAACTTCCCGAGATATTTTTTGCTGGTATTTTTCATATTGTGTTACGACAAACATGCTAAATGGCATAGAAATACCTCTTAAATGTCAAAAATATGCTGTAAATCGGCCCTATGAACTACATTGTATTTTGAAAAGTAGGTCAAAGGTCAAGGTCAAGAGGTCGGTAACCATGGTAATTTACAAAAGCCATAGTGCCAAGCAATATATGTGCAAAATATAAAATCCATACCTCTTACAGATCTTGAGATATAGGGTGTGACAGAAGGACAGACAGATGCCAGGTAAAGTGATCTCTTAGTGCCGCTCTGCTCTGCAGGCGATACAAAAATTTAGTATTTCATTTCAATGTCTTTGACAAAAAATCAAGATTCTATATCAAATCAAATGTGCTTTGAAATTGATACTTGAAGTTCATCAATTTCATTGACTAAAAATTTACAAAACAATATTCTAGGGCATATTTACTACCGATATTCGGACTTATTTTTCAAGAGAAAATTTCCCCTAATATCCCATTTTCCCCTTTTGATGAGTACAAAATTCCCCTTACAATAATGAAAAGCACAAATAATTTTTTTTCCTTCAAAACATTTTCATCAGATGTGAAATATGGTATACTTTGCTATTTTATGCACTCTAAATGTCATTAAAATGCTGAAATTGGGCCCCCCACATGGCCGTAGGAACCGGGGGGGGGGGGGGGGGCGTGCCCCCCCAATAATTTTGCCGATATATAGAACACTATAGAAACAGTCTATGCGAAAGTCTAAAATTTTTACAGGACATACGGTCTGGTAAAAATATATATTTTACCAGACCAAGCATTTACTTACCAGACCGACCTTTTTCTTTAAATTCATACATCATTATGATACAGAGATTGAAAGGGGGGGGGGTATTCTCACCGTTAAATTGAACCTTAAATAGATCCAGAGTTGAGATTATTTAAAAAAAAAATGATTTTATTGAAATGAACAAACTTATTATTGCTTCCTTTTTAAAAGGTAGCACATATGACAAATGAATACAATTTTCTCTTTTTCTGGTTATTTGACACAAACAAATGAAATAAAACAGTGTCAAAGATTTTTTTCTAAAACTTAAAATGCACTTTAAAATATATTCATTTATTTCCTGAAGTAACTTTTAATAGTTACTCTTGTTTAATAACGAAAATAATCTACCCATCCAAATCTACGTATGAGCTATCTATATAGATCTATATTCCATGACAGAGGAAATTCGAATAAGAAATAACCGATCATGACAGGGTTGATATAGATTAAAATTAATCATGCATTACTGCTAAATGGATCGAATAAAGGATATGTGTGGAAAATAAGACCAAATGAACATGTAAATTCAGATTTTAGGCCTTATTTTTTCATCGGACATTTGGTCCTGTATCCTGAATTTTTTTACCGACCCGAACCAAGTTTTACCGGTAAAAACCGACGGTCTGGTGACTTTCGCATAGACTGTAGAAAACATAGCTGCTATATGCTTGTGCCCCCTCAATAATAACGTCTGATGACCTTTTTTTTTTTTTTTTTTTTTTTTTTTTGCTTGTCAGGGAATTTTGGTAGTTGATAGTGCCCCTTCAACTGAAAATGTATGGTTGTGCCCCCTCAAAGTGAAATTGCTTCCTACGGGCCTGCAGGGCTTGCCAGTGAAAGTGGCCCACAGACCCCAGCTGATTTTCCCAATTTCTCCAAAAAGGGTAATTTCCAATTTGTTTCAAAATTTCAATCCAAGCTTTGTTATTGGCTGTTAGTGCAGATGGCCACTAACAAAATAATATTAACTGTTGTTACGATTAACTGTTAACGATACTTTTTGATGCTTTACATACTGAACTTTTCTATGTACAGTACCATCTTCCGAGGATGCTCAAGAGTGAAAATGTTTTCCCTCTTATCTATGACTTATTAGATGTAAAGAGCGTTTACAATATCAATATCATCTCTTCACTTTGTACAAGCAGCCATTTTCAATTTTTTGATAGGTCGTTCATGTATCGTTTCGTACCGATATTTCAATGCATGTATCATAAACCATATCTAAGCCAGAAAATATCAGTATGTATTGGTTTATCGATATATCATCCCACCTCTACATTTTAAAAAATTAATATTTATATATAAGATTATAAAACTAGTGTACTAGAGACATAATTTTGTGTCTTTGACTGAATTTGAACCCATCCCTGGCATGCCAGTCCATTGTTCTATCAATTGAGATACAAGTTTAACCCACAAGCCTAAGCCAGTATTAAAGAAGCTGTGTATCATACACTACCATACTAACACATGTACATAAAAAAAATAACTGTTTTGAATCCTTAGTTATTTAATAATGTTCCGTAAGTGATTTATCATCATTCTCTTTAAGCTTTTTTTATTACTTGTTCTGAAGGGGAAACACCTTCTTTAGCAGGGTTGTCCCTAAGAATTGAAATAGCAGGGGACATTTAAAAAGTAGAAGGGTTTTTCGGGTTCCTCCCTAACAGAGGGGTTGAGGGGGAATACCAGAATAAGTGGGGGATTACATCATTATAGGTGGGGAAATTCCCCGGCCCCCGGGTTTTAGGGACAACCCTGATTAGATGCACATTTATAACTACAGTGAAGCACGCTTATAATGATGGAAGTGCAAGAGACAGATGAGTATGCTTTGTTATAATTTATTTTACATATATGTATTAAGTTTACAATATATTTTAAAGTCACTGGGATTGTAAGCGTCAATTCATTAAACATGTTTGTGCTTTACTGTAGTGCTTTTCGTAGGCGCTCATTTTATAAAGTACATGCAAAGAGGTACAGTGTCCTTTCCCACTATTGAACATTTTCAGAATCTCAGACACCCGACAACATGCAGACTTTGAACTGCAGACTTTACACTTAAGGGAACATGTCAAAAGAGTAATTTGAATGATACATTCGAGTATATTTTATTGAATTTGATAATCAAATTTTGTTCTTATTTGTACAAGTTATACATCTCTACATAAACACATGGTGTGGGTGGAAGGGGGCAAGGAGGCTGCCCCCACCTTTTTCTGAGAATACTTTTTTTGCTGTTTCCCAATAACTTTTTTCCTTTTATAAATCAATAACAACAAACTCTCAACAACAAATAGAAAACAAGGATCTTCACAGGGGCTGACAAATCCCATTGGCCGATGCCCGGGGCTAGTGAATTTTAGGGTTGGGCTAGTGAAATTTTATCAACCACTTGCCTGTGGGCAAGTGACTTAAAAAAAAATTAAATCCACGTATAAGTCAAATAAACAACTGAATAAAGCTAGGCACAGGGGCTTGCATTATATTCTTATTAGGGATGTCAACAAATAGTCGACTATTCGACTATCAGTCGATTGGACCGACGATCGAATAATGAAACGACATTCGAATATTATTATTATTATTATTAAATAAACGCAAAAAAGTGGAATAACGAGATGGAATTCTCATCTCAAAACCGAGAAACCCTCAGTCTTCAGAGACAGTCGATAATTTTCCTCCACAAAATATTGATTTTCCATGTACATATATAGAAAGTACACTAATT